GATGTGTACACCACAGTTAGAGTTTCGATTTTTTAACATAGATAAAATATTGATGTAGTAGATTTGATGTTGATATGATAGTTACCATAAATGTATAAACCAGCCAAATAATGATTTTTCCTTCGGGTGAGAACCGCCGAACGTCGGAGGCTGCCGTAGTTTCATAGGTTGAATACCATATACATTTTACAGACACCTGGATTGCCTCGAGTCACATATTTACTAGGAACATTGTATGGAGATGACGATGAACAACTAAATAGTGATAAAGTTAAAGATTCAAAAAATTGAGACTGCAAAATAATGTTCACAATCTGTTATTAATATGTTAAGTGAATGTCACGGCAGTGCGAATTGACTATTACAAATTTATAGTAATAGTATTTTAAAGAAATATCGACATAGGTATTACAGACATCACTATGTGTAGGTGTTCTTTTTTCTGTTTATAGGATTTGTTGTAGAGACGCCTTCATTGTTGTAGGTCGTGTCGATCGCTCGGCTCCTAACGGATCAAGATGCGAGTGCCTGATACACTTGAACTGAGACTTTCGTTTTAAAAGTCTCTAACACAGAAAGAAACTGCAATTGATATATTGTTGACTCGTTTACAAATTAGATTACCTAAGTATAATTATTAAATAGGCTAAGAATTAGAAAAAAATTAAGAAAAACAAATCTGTAATTAAATATGTAAAAATAGTAAAAATTAAATTATATCATTCAATATGTTAGTACAAATCTTTAAACAAATATTTGTATTAATATTGAAAAAAATAGTTAAAAAAAAATTAAAAACGCATTGGATGTTTGCGAGGCGTGTCCGCCCCGCCCGTGCTGACCAACCCACCCATTATCCACTTAACGAAATCACTTCTGAATAAAATATTTCATCTTCACCAAACATATCGTATCTTTTTTGTGATCGTGTTCAGATACATTTAATTTTAAAGTATCGAATTAATTTTAAAAAATTAATGACGGCTTATTTATTGCATGTTGATTGATAAATATATTCAAAGTGTATTTACATCGATCTGTAAATGGACAAGAAAATTCTTTGAATTACTAACGCTAAGGAAAACTTCTATCTTGAATTTAGGAAGGAAATCTATCGAATTTGATGTATGCTTTGCAAACATTGTTATTTTTGCTGTGTCTTAAAATAGATGGCGCTAGTTGTCATATAATTTTATCTAGTTTTCAAATTATGTTTTGAATTGAATGAAAATTGTATCCGAGTACTATATGTATATATTTAGACCAGATATATTTTAATGAACTCGACAACGATAGTTAAAAAAACCACTTGTAAAGCATTACTGTTTTATTTTACTTTATAATGTAAATTAATGTGTTTGTTTGTATCTAACAAAAACAACAATATATTTACGCATGTTTACTAATTTGATATAACACAATTAGTACCCTCTTGTTGCAAGGGTGCAAATATAAAATTGTCCCTTGGGAGTGATCGTTCTGCAAGATTATTAGGGTTGAAAATTGAATTTCTCACAACCATCGCGAGACATGGTAACCCGCAGGATATTGTGGTTCATAATCAAATTAATTTGACTGGATCTACTGACGTATATTAATAAAAAAACTATAAATTAAAATCCTAAAAACTGTAAACATTTAATTCAAAACACTGTTTCTGTATTAGATATATTGCTTACCGTACTTTTACTAGATTTGCTTGCCGGTTTATAATTATTTAGTATTTATAGAACATTTTACAAAAACACAAATTAAATATACACACAAATATGGCTCCGCAACAAGCACATGATTGGTTTGTTCGCGGGTTACAACGTTAAAGCTCTTAACGAAGCTAACGTAATCTTGCAGATTCTATAAAATAAGTAGTGAATCCTACTTACCAGTTGAATACAATACTGAACAGATCCGTTGCTAATAATTCTTATGTCAAAGTCTAGCAAAATTTGTTAAATTAGCTTGTAAAGTTGACATAAGTCTCCTAAAAAATATACCTACGTATAATTTGATTCTTAAATAATCCGTTGGTTCGAAAAAAATAATAAAGTTCTTTTTACGGCAGTAAATCTTCATTTCCTAATAAACTGGACTTAACCATTCACCCTTAATGTAATCAACGTCTAATTTCGTATTCGCAGCTTACGATAATGATTAACGACAAACTTTATTAATTCGATCTGCGAGGATTAGAGACATCGTATAGTGGCGAGGGGTAGGTACAGAGAAAAAACAAACGAATTTCACCAGGGATGACGCGCCGGGGGATCCTTTAAACGCGTATGGTTAAGGGTTGCCAACATTAAAAAAAACATCGAGATAACCTTGCTGCAAACAATATTACACAAACAATTAACAATTTATTTTATTGTTTTCCTAACAGCTCAATGTTTAGATATAGATATACTCTAAAAATATAATCCTAACTATAAATACAAAAAGACCAATAGAAAAAAATTAAAAGCAAAAAACATATACATTATCTTATCTTGAGGGATATTTCATTGTAATACTAGTTATAAAAAAACTTGACAACCGTATGATAACGTATAAGGACAAAATAATTTATGGTTTTCTTTGCTTTAAATTAATAACATATTAATTAATGTTTTTTTTTAAATCAAATTACAATAATATAAAAAACTATTGTAACAAAAAATAAACACTTAATGCCTTAGATTTTCATAATATCTGTACTTATATTTGTATATCTGTATTATGAAAACATTTCAATATTTCAGCGTTAGAGTACTTTTTATATATGTAAAATTAAAAACATTTTATCTAATATAAACTTCTGGTCGCAACCCTAACAGTAAATCTATATGTCAACACAGGGGTCTTTGTTGCCTCAGGGGATGTGTTCGGTTTTAATAAAACTATTTATTCAACAATAATGTCACTGAGCTGATCGTCTACTTGTACTTACTGTTTGAATCTTTTAAATCGGATTTTAATAAACTGGACGTTAAACTATTTGCCAAATTTTTCATTTCATAACAAATATATTGCCTTAACCAAGTATCTACAAATTAAAAAAAGTATCTAAAAACTATAAATGACTTGTTTAGTTTCATTTTATAAGCATCGTAAATCTGACCCCTAGACAACGGCACGCGTTTCCACATTGTTGACATAGTAAATAAGATGTAAACAGAATTATTAATGACGAAATAAATGTTGACGAGGTATATACATACTCAACTGTGTTTACTAGACACATGGAAGTGCATGTTTCAATGAAGAAATTGCTATTCTGTTCTGATAATTATTATCCTTTGCAAAATGATCGCCTCATGTCGGTGTTAATAAAGATCAAATTATAATTTCCATTTGTTAATACACTTTTTAATTAGTTTAGTTCAAAAGCAAATTTTTAATTCGTAGTTTCATAGTTTATTTCCTACTAAAACATACCTAGAACATATAAATGTTAAAAAATATCTTGTGTTTCACTTGTTTAAAAGTACATTTTATATTTACCTAGGCTACGCCTGACAAGAATTGTAATTCATGACATTGGACTCAACGATACCGTAAGACATGCCATCACTTTGACGACTGCTCCAAACTATAATACAAACGAAATAGATTTTATTTCTATCGATACAAAGTATTAACTGAGATCTCTCAGTTGGCATGTAATCTCCTTATCATTTACTTTCTTGAAATGTCAAATTCGATAACTGAATACTCAGCTCCTTATCATCAAGTACAGTTATAAACAAAATGCTTTTGTTTAAAAAAAAAACTGTTTTAATATATTTTAATTACCACTTATATCAAGGTATATACAGGTGATATTCTTATAGTTATTCATCAATGTCGCAAGTGTATAAACATGACAGCAATCAAATGCCATAAGAATTGGAGCCTTCTGGAATAATCGTTACATAACGAGGAGTTTAGTTAGCAGTTTTACCTAATACCGTATAAGCAACTCATACAGTTGCTCTACAAACTCTGATGGTTAGGAATTTCTAAGGAAATTTGGTTAGTCTCAAAAGAAATAACACTGATAAGTAGTAACGTACAAAGTACCTTCTGTTTTAATATTTTTGATGTTCCTCAACATTATACTTTTGTGAAATGATGTACTTGTAGTTTGATCTCTTATTTAGAAGTAAAAGTAAAACTTTATTTAAAATGACCTCTTCTCTATCGCTCATAAAAAATAAAACATACATTTTATTACATCGTCTAATATGTTGTGAACATTTAAATAAAATTTTAAAAACATTGTTTGCAAATTTTAGAAACCATATTTCGTGGCAGTTATAAACGGCGTAGGTGTAGACTTCCTTAATAAAGCTAAGGTGCAAGTGGATTTACATCTATTTGTATAATATTAACAAGTTTATTACTATAAAAGCTTGAATCAAAGAACGCTCAATCATCTAGCAGGTGTCTGTCTGTTTATACAATGTGTTAATTATGCATTACGCGACCTTAATTCATTGTTGACTGGCCACATGTCGCCGGCAATAAATTCAACAGTTTTGACACCGCTTAAATGGAAACGGGTGAAAATATTTGTTATTTCGTAACTGCAAAAGTTTTCACTATTTTAAATGTATTACTGATCATCTATTTCATTTTTGATGGAGAACATTCTCAATATGTCTTTGGATATAAGAGAAAAAGGCTCTTAAATTGATTTGCCTGATCAGCTAATGTGCATGTATGTCAATGGCAACAATATAACGATTAAAATACTTATTAAATTAAAAATAATAATTGACATTTGTATATTTCATTTACCTTATTCATAATCCCAGAAAGAAATCCAAATCTAGATTGGAAAAATAAATCTTACCGCATGGTGTCGTCCGCGAAATCCTTATTACTATTAACGAATGCTTTATGACGTTCATAAAATCGTACCTTACATCGATTAACAAATAATGTTATAGTTTTCTTTGTTTTCCAGAAAAAAATCTATTTATCGCATTAGCAAAATTTATTTTGATAACTAAAAATCTTTATCTATATATCTGTACATTAGGATTAATAGCAAATCGTTTAAGCTCATGACCGACTTGTTTGCCTATTTATTATATGAATTCGTAGAGGACATTACACACCTACACAGGTAAATGTTTATTTTATTTTCTTGCTGGACGGTTTTGAAATTTAAAACAAAATACAATTACAGTTGTCATAAATCAATATCATATTAAAAATGATGCGATGAAATGATATTTATTTGATTTATAAGTGTATTTAAAACTATTTAAAACTTGCTATCTACTTTACCAAATACCTTTAATATAACTTTTTAATTTACAACAAGTATACATATATACACATTTGTATTTTTTCCAGAACTTTTCTTTTATCAAGATGAGAAAAGCAATGCTGGTGTGGCTAATGGCGGGCGCGCTTGGTTACTGCAGTGTAGTTACCGCAGCGCCGCCGCCGGCCGCTCTCTCGCGGGCCATGCCGAGAAGAGGCGCCGACAGCTGTCGGCCCGTCGTGATCGCCCACCGTGGCGCCAGCGGCTATGTACCGGAGCACACTCTGGGCGCCTACGCCCTCGCCATCACCATGGGCGCGGACTACGTTGAACCCGATCTTGTAATGACCGCCGACGGACACCTCATCGCCCGACACGACAACGAACTTGGCCTCACCACGGATGTTGCTCAGCGTCCCGAATTCGCCGACCGCTTTCGAACACAAATTGTCGACGGTCGTCAGATGACCGGTTGGTTTACAGAAGATTTCACCCTCGCTGAAATAAAAACGCTCCGAGCTATTGAACGCATACCAAGCTCGAGGCCCGGCAACGCAAGAATGGACGGTGCTTTCGACATTCCTACATTCCAAGAAATTATAGACCTTGTAAAAAGTATGGAGATAAGCGAAAGACGTACCATTGGTATTTACCCGGAAATCAAGCACGGTACCCATTTCCAACATTTAGGATTGGCAATGGAGCGACGGCTAGTTGACACGTTTCACAGAAGCGGATACGTGGGACCTCTGGCTCCAGCTTATATTCAGTCTTTTGAAGTTAACAATTTGAAGGAACTTAAAGAACTAACAGACCTTCGTTTGATACAATTGTACGGCGGAAACCCAGCAAACCAGCCGTTCGATCAATACGTTGCTGGCACAAAACTGACATACGCCGATATGGCGACGCCAGAAGGGCTCAAAGAAGTCGCAAAATATGCCCACGCCGTGGGACCGGAAAAGAACTACATTATTCCTCGTAAAGAGGACAATACACTGGGCGAACCTACTAATTTTGTAAAAGACGCTCACGCGGCGGGCTTAGAGGTACACCCGTACACTTTCCGTGCTGAGAACTCTTTCTTGCCTGCGGAATATCGCAGCGAAAGCCTTTCAGAGGCGGCCATCGGGGATTTTAATGGAGAATTAATAACCTTTATTGCCACCGGCATTGATGGACTGTTCGCTGACCAACCGGATGTGCCCCTGCGTGTCAGAGATGTATGTCTAGAAAACAAGCTATAGTAGAAATTATTTTTAAATTGTAATTTGATTGTACACGCCATAAGTTTCTTATTGATGTAACATCGTTACATAGGAATAGTCCGTTAGGAACATATTATAACTATATTATTTTTACCTTTAAAAATGTGACCGCCTTTAAAATATCACAAAGTTAATGACCTTATTTTCAAGTTCTTGTCTAGTTTATTCAACAGTTCTTATCGGGTGGAGTAAATATGCCCTTAGCGTAGTATTAGACGAGTTCTCATTCAAGGTAAATAACGATGTAATTAAAAAGTAGATACTTTATATATGTTTCGTCAACTATAAATTGTAAATTTTAGCTGTAATAAATTTGTATAAATTAAAAAAATACTTTTCTCTATTTTACCTATTAATCTAATAATAAAAAGCGTATAAAAAGCAAAAATACTTCGAATAAACGAATATTCTCATCAAAAAGGTTACAGTATCTATAAATAAATCTAAAAAAGTAAAAAGTATAAGTCAAAGTTAGATTAACACTACAATATATAGATATTAATTATTAATTCTTTTTGTTCTCATTCCTTACGTAGCCTTGAGAGCACTAAATCGCGTAACAAAGTCACGAAGTCTATACAACTGTTTTCCTCCTCCAGTCTGCCTTGTGGCGTCTGACAACACTTTAATATAATATGATAAACGTTGTTTATTTAATATTATTGTTTATTTAATTTATTACGAATTTTTAGACCGTGATTTTAAGCATTTCTGTATGTGAATGTACGTCAGTTCTAATCACATCCTGGTCAAGTGTCTCTGTAGTGGTATAGAGAGACGGAACACCGAACAATTTGTACACGTAAGTAGTTTTCTCTTTCAATGTAATGATAACCTTAAAATACATTTTATTCAAAATTGTAAGTCACTTGTTTAATCGTGTAATTCATAATTAATGGCAGAATTTACTGTAGCAAAAGTTGTTAATGCAAATTTCATGGAAAAACGTACATTACAATGTAGGTCGTAACCTTTACGAAAATTATAAAGACAAGTTAATGAAGTCGAATTCAGATAAGTTTTTAAGTACTTTGTCTTGGTTGTATAAATATAGTACTAATACTTAATGCAATAGAACTAGCGAAGCAACTATTTATATCTTAGTAAGTAGCAATTGTATTTTATATTATTTATAAGTTATTGTATTGGGAAAACTACAGCTACTGACACTTATGCAAACAGCCAATACTACACTATATCTAGTATATTAATTACTTTATGAAACAACATTAAATTTAATGCTATATTATATTTTATTTCCAGAAAATGGTCAGCAATTTCCGAGCATGGTTACTACTTACTGCAGTAGGATGCTTCACATTTGTTTCTTCGGCTCCTGCTGCCTTAACAACTACAAAAACGAAGAGTAATCCGGATAAATGCAAGCCACTGGTCATAGCCCATAGAGGTGCGAGCGGCTACGTGCCCGAGCATACGCTGGGGTCTTACGCTCTTGCCATTACAATGGGTGCTGATTATGTAGAACCAGATTTGGTGATGACTCGAGATGGACACCTTGTTGCGAGGCACGATAACGAACTTGGACTTACCACAGATGTTGCCAAACACCCAGAATTCGCCGATCGCCATAAAACAAAGACCATCGACGGCCACGTAATGACAGGCTGGTTCACCGAAGACTTCACTCTTGCTGAAATCAAAACACTAAAAGCAATCGAACGCATACCAGAAACGAGACCGGGAAACGCCCGTATGGACGGCATTTTCCAAATCCCGACTTTCCAAGAAATAATTAATCTTGTGAAAAGCTTACAAATAAGCCAACAACGTCCTATCGGTATTTATCCCGAAATCAAACACAGTACTTATTTCCGCCGTTTGAATCTGCCAATGGAAGATCTCGTGGTTGAAACATTCCATGAGAACGGTTATACTGGTGCTTCCGCCCCCGTCTACATTCAGTCCTTCGAGGTAAACAATTTGAAATATCTGAAAACGATCACAGATCTCAAACTGTTGCAACTCTACGACAGTAATCCTTCTGACCAGCCTTTTGATCAAGTTGTTAGCGGAACTGATCTTACATACGGCGATATGGCAATGCCCGACGGACTCAAAGAAGTAGCTAAATATGCCTTTGCTGTTGGACCTGATAAAAGTTATATCATACCGCGTAATCGCGACAACACTCTGGGCGAACCCACGAGCTTTGTTCAAGATGCCCACGCGGCAGGTTTAAAAGTTCATCCGTACACATTCCGAGCAGAGAATACGTTCTTACCTAAGGAGTTTAGGAGTAAAAACCCTTCGAAGGCTGCAATTGGAAATTTGTATGGCGAGTTGAGAGCTTTCTTTGCAACAGGCATTGATGGTTTGTTTTCAGACCAACCAGACAAAGCTGTAGCTATAAGAGAAAACTGCATACATTCCTAAAAAAAAGAATACATCTTACTATTACAACAAAGTCTGCACAGTATTTGTAAGTAACCAAAAGTGAGTGAGGTGGAAAGACAATTAAACATAATTATTATTCTAAAATACTTGTTTAGTTTCAATTAGTACCTAGCATGTGGACGTACGAGTAAATTTACTTTAAGCGCTCTTCATACCAGCATCTACTTCTTACAATTGGTATAGGTAATTGTCATGATTGGTTTGTACTGATAGTGCAGCCGTGATAACATCGTGCCAGTTCAAGTAATGTATGTTATGTACCTAAATAAGAAATTCTACTGATAGTTGCACCATATGCCACTTGGATCACATCGATCACGAACACGGCTCTAAAGTCATCGTCACTTCATAAATGGCTATAAAGATTCTGAAAAGTAAGGAAGACATTGAATGTTTTAAGATTACATCTTATTATTATAAAGTTAATATTTAAAATGATTATGGAGTAATTGTTTTAATAAATTAAATTACATAGATAAAAAGAGTTCTGGCTATGGTTTTGAGTAAGAATTATAGTATCGGATAGCGGTACAATTATACTTGACCTTGCAAATCTCCTATAAACTGATAATTTAATATTAAAAACCATTGTTATTTTATATTTTTCTTTGCAGACGTTTTGTGAATAGACACACAGTTGTCAATTTTGTAATGACAACTGTCATGTCACTGTCAGTCGGTCAGCCGGTCGATTTTGCAATGACAATGACGCCGAATCGAAGTTTTGCTTCGACTTCATTTCGTAGTTCGTAGAATTTGTAGTAAGATGTTGCAGCAATAATATTGTGTTAATAATATTAAATGTAATATTCGTGACCTATAATCACCGGTTGTATTAATATGTGTAGAGAAATGTATATAGATTAATACAAAAGTGTAATATTTTCAGAAATGATAAGGCAATCATTAAAATTTAGGAAAACTATAACCATCGTATGTGTTTTGTCTTTGCGTAAGTACAGCCGCTTTTATTTGTTTTTTGCTTGTTAGATTTAGTAAAAACTTTTTACTAGTTTTACAAGTAGAAGTATTATAGCCGTTTAAAAAGCATTGCTGGCATTTTTTTTATTTACCTTGGCAGATGTTTCAAAATTAAATGTTATTTTGCAGTGGTCTTTATTTTCCTTATTCTTAAAAAAGATAAATATATTGATAATAGTGAAGTAAAAAGACATCACCAAAGAATAGATGATGATTTCCAGGACGTAGGGTACAGAGAATTTGATGAAATACCAAAGAAGGAACCATATGTTCTTGGTGAAAAGAAAATAAAAATGGAAATGAATAATGTTGCTGATGAAGGCACAAAAAGAGAATTACAAGAGGCCAAAGCTCGAATTGAACAGTTGGAGAAGAAATTAGCAATTTTAGAAGGAAGAATTCCACAAAAATATCCAGATGTTCAATATTTGGGGTATAAAGAAAGAAAACGGATTTTGGTTAGTTAAATTATCACATTTAAAGATAAGTTGCAACTGTAATTTTGAAGGCATTTGCTGTATTTAACATTTTAAGTTCCATTTACATTTACTTTACAGTATGCAGCTTTTGATGATTTAAATTAAAAAATTATTGATTTATCACTGGTCACTTTATTTAATGAATTGTAATCAAATTTTATTTTTGATACAAAAATAATTTAGGTTACAGGAGGAGCTGGTTTTGTCGGTTCACATCTTGTTGATGTATTGATGATACAAGGACATGAAGTTATTGTTGTGGACAATTTTTTCACCGGACGGAAACGCAATGTGGAACATTGGTTTGGACATCGTAATTTTGAAATGATACATCATGATATTGTGAATCCATTATATGTCGAGGTATCATTATTATTTGAATCTTATCTGTTATCTATAATAGTCATGCTATAAACTAATAATTTATCGAGTAAATACACACTTAAACATGTAAATGATATTAAGTTATTGGTTTTTCCTGCTTTATAAATAAAGTGAATTATAAAGTCTTAAAATTAAAACAATGTTCTTTGCAAGGTAATAATTTCTAGAGAGTCGAACATATTACAATCACAATTTTTTTTTTTATAAAATGCCTATCTGATTATTTAAAACTAGAACTGGCAACATACTTAATTTACAATTATAAATACTTATCATAGAATGTTGACTGAAGTGTTACTTAATATTCTATTTAGATAAAAATGTGTACACAGATGTTCAAGTAAAGAATAGCCTTGAGTTTAACAAAAAACTTTCCATAAAATTACCTTAATTTTTGTAATGTTTTGTCTTATAAATGTACTTTTACGTTTTTCAGGCAGATGAAATTTATCATTTAGCCAGTCCTGCAAGCCCACCTCATTATATGCAGAATCCTGTAAAAACTATTAAAACAAATACATTGGGCACCATTAATATGTTGGGTATGTGCACTGTTACGATGGAATTCTTGTTTAAGAAAAATATAGCAAATTTCTACTTAATTTTTTTTTTTAATAAGTTATTGAATCCAGGGGTGGCCAAACAGTTGACTGCAATTATTTGTACAGCTGATTGTGGCAAGGTAAAACATATAGATACTAAGTAATTGCATATGTATTCTGCTTCATGTGAGAATCAAGATGTAATTGGTAAATTGCATAGAGTATCAACAGTAAATAGATTTTTCAGACATGATATTAGTTAAGATTAGAATAGTAGTTATTAAGCTTATAATAAATTTTATTATGCAATGCTTATTTGTACAGGTCTGGCGAGACGTGTTGGAGCTAAGATTTTGATTGCCAGCACATCTGAGGTTTACGGAGATCCTATGGTTCATCCCCAACCAGAATCCTACTGGGGACATGTTAATCCAATAGGTAAAAAGAAAACATCTTGCTATTTCTGAACAGTATTGTAAAAATTCAAAGTCAAAGTTTAAAAGGACTTTATTTTTGGTTCGTATTCTTGCAAAAGTTTTTTTTAGCTTCATTCATACAATTTATATTATTTCAGGTCCGCGTGCATGTTATGATGAAGGCAAGAGAGTCGCCGAAACTTTAGCCTATTCGTACGCCAAACAGGAAAATGTTTCAGTGAGGGTAGCGAGAATCTTCAACACGTATGGGCCACGTATGCATGTGTCGGATGGTCGAGTTGTGTCCAACTTCATTATGCAGGCGTTGCAGAATCTTACTATTACGGTAAGTTTGAATTACATTTTGATAACTATGACTATTACATGTACTAAACAAACATGTAGATTTAGTATGGATAATTCGTCTTCTATCATATTTCATATAAATGATAATGTTTGGATGGATGGATGTTTGTTACTTAATCTTTAAAATGGCTTAATAGATGAAGATGAGATTTGACACATAATCTGGAAGAACACATAGGCTACTAAGTTTTTTGTTTTTTAATTCTGCGGAAAATGAAGCCTCCAACAAAAGATATAATTTATAATTTTTGGCTATTAATTTTTTATTCACATATCAAAACTGATCTTAGGTTATGTCCAACATATATGAAGCTTATGATTTATATATGAAATACAATAGAAAACATTTGTTTTCCAGGTGTATGGTAATGGTAAACAAACCCGTTCATTCTGTTACGTGTCAGATCTTGTAGATGGTCTGTTGGCTTTAATGGCCTCCAGTTATTCCTTGCCTGTGAATATTGGCAACCCTGTTGAACACACAATAGAAGGTAAGCAAGCATATTAGTTGCATTAGTTTTTAAATTTTTGAGTTTTCTACAAACAAATATCTTATTTGAAGTAAAACTCAAAAATTTGTGGATAGTTTTTAATTTTGAAAGAAGTGGGGCCAAATGGCAGCTATGCTGCAACAAACACAATCAGTAAATCGCAAAGTATTCGATATACATACATAAAAAATACTGATTGAGAACCTTCCCCTATTAAAAGTTGAGTAAAAATTTAATTTGAATTTGTTTACATGTATATTTGCAGAGTTTGCGGTGATAATAAAGAATCTAGTCCCGGGTTGCCGCAGCACGGTGACGACAGGCGCGGCCGTGGAGGACGACCCGCAGCGTCGCCGCCCTGACATCACCCTCGCAGAGACACATCTACACTGGTCACCTAAGGTACACCACACATACTAAACACAAAAGGGGTAGCCAGGGTATGAAATCGTTATTTTAGTATTAGGTGACAAGCAAGCGGTCACCGGAACTCGTCGAAATAGTGAAGCGACTGCTGCTCATAGACTTTCGTATTTGCAGATCTTGAGGAAAATTACCCTTACTATACCTCAACACATCCCATTACAAATATACTTTCCGGTCCGAGCCTTGAGAAAAGAAAAGGGTTAGAAGGGAAAGAGGACTAAAAAAAATTCTAAAGCTCTGTTAATTTGTCGCTAAAGTACCACATTGTTGTAATTTAAAAAACAAAAACTTATTTAGATCTTGATTCTTACTTGTTTGTCCTAGAATAAATTGTTAGTTGTCAAAATAAAGAATTGTAATAGTGAATTTGTTCCAGATATCATTGCAGGACGGCCTCCAGAGAACGATAGACTACTTCAAAGAGGAATTATCGCGTACAACATTTCACAACAATCAAACATATATAGATTTTAAAGTGAAAACATCTCACTAAGGTGTTTTTTGGAATCCTCTACTAATGTGATATTAGGAGTATATGCTATTGAAAATACAAGTATAAAAAAACTGTATCATAGAATACTGTAAACTTTAAAAGCATTTGTCCTTTTTATTGTTTATTTATGACAAACTATTTGCTACTATATCCATATTAAGACAATGACAAATTATATAAAAGTAAATTAGTCCCTTCGTAGTATATTCACTTTAAAAAATGTGTTATATTTAAGTGACAAAAAAGTATAGAATAAGTTATTTTTTATTGCTTGTGTAAAGTCCACTTCACACATTTATTTTTAACTGAACAGTTGAATGGTGCACTTTAACTGATAATTAGTATCTTCACATCTCACTATTTTACTAATATTATAAAGCAAAAGTTTAGATGAATGGATGTTAGCAGGTATTTCTTAAACGGCTCAAAAGATCTTGAGGAAATTTGACATTGATGTAAAATATAGTCTGGAACAACACATAGACTACTAAGTTTTTTATTTCTGTGTGAACAAAAATTAGTATTTCAGAAGTTATATTGTATAGTACAACTGTTAAGTTAAAAGTAAGTGTGTAGTGGGCTAAAGACTACAAAAATATAAAACCACTGTGTGTGTTATAGACTGCTTTTGGATCATGATTTTTTTAAATATATATACTTTGTTATTATATTTGTATTAGCAATGTGCTAATAAGCATAGTGGTTTCAGCTTGCACATTTTTTTCCGATTGTTTTCATGTTGAAATATAATTAAAAGAATTCTATTGTTGTGTTCATTATGTGAAAATAAACGATAAAAATTAATAAGTATTTTAATAAATTAAGACATAGATAAGACTAGAAATTAGAATTAATTCCTTTTACAACACATACTAGGTAATACATTCCAATTATAATAATATGTTTTTCTTTCAAACTCTTCGATTTCACATAGTTTTCTTCCATGCGAGTGTACAAGAGTTTTGTACATCTGGAACATATCATTTACTGTCTGCTTGTGTCTTACAAGCATGTTGTCATCACATCCTCGTGATTTCCATTCAGTATCAAATCTGACATCATGGATTCTGTTTATTGCATTCAATGAAGCCGTCCAAACACCCATAGATACATCTTCTGCATTGTAATAACTAAAATATATACATTTTGTATAAAGTTAAAAGTGTCATTTCATTCTAAAACTCCAGTGGTTTGTGGCTGAACCCAATTATTGATCTTGAATTATTTTTACTTATCCGAGTTACATTTAATTGTTTTAAATATACAAGAATTACGACAGGAATAGTAAACATGTTTAGACAGCGTAATATGTCAGAGTTTATTTTTGTTCTCTTATCTCTATCCATCTTTTCAATTGTGTCAAACACAAGCAAGTAAAGTGTTCTGTTTAGAAGATTAAAGCCTTAAAGTGGTGTGCTAAATATTCTTATACAAACCTTAGGAAGTCGATATTCTGGGCAATGTAATCCACAACACTGCGAGATATAACATAACCACCACCTAATGCATAAGGCAAGTAGTTATCACACAAGAACCAACGCTTTTCCTGCCACTTGCCACTGAGGTACACTTTAGCATGGCCATTAAAATAACCCCAATACAACCCTTTGTATGTAGGCTGTTGTTCCTAAAATGTTTATTAAAGGATTATCAACTGGAGCCAATTATAGTTTTATGTATTAAATAAATATGAGTTAAATATAAAAAGTCAAAATCAGTAATGTGCAATGCATCACACCGTAAAGTGCCAACAGGTTATTTGCAAATAGAAGTGAAAAAGTATGTTATTAAATTGCAATAAAAAGACATAAAATAGGTGAAAACAACACTACAGCCTGTTTTCAATTCATTAGTAAAATCAAATGATATGTATTTGTGAATCTTGAAAATTTAACTTTGTTTTAAAATTGTACGTCCATTACCATTATAATAAGTTAAAATAAGCAAACTACCTCCAAGTTTTAGGTGTAATATCCAAATTCTAGACTTAGAGCATATACATTAAAATTGTTGATCTGCTTAAATAAAGTTGTAAACTCATACTAAAGGCCTCTAACGGGAGTTAGGAAAGTAACTAACTTGGCATGCACAGAACTGAAACAAATTCTTTGGTATTAAAAAAATGTTATGCATTGTAACATAACAGCACAGAATATAATAGAAAATTAAACATTTAAGTCTTAAAAACAAAATATTACCAACATACCTTCAATGTAACAAATTTATCTAGTTCAGGTGCATTCATACTAGGAGCAAAAGCGACAAGATCTTTGACTATTAAATCAATTCTAACAAAAGAATCATCATCACATTTTATTACATATTTCATTTCCTTTAAATTTTTACTTATCCAACTCAAGGTATTCAATACTTTTAGTGATAAATTTTTGTAACTATCCTCAATATTGTCAAGAATTAAAATGTCTTTTTGACGCTTTTGTTCATTTGCCACTTTCTCTGCTTTAATTTCACTTAAACCTAATCTGCCCACAGCAAAGAATAGTTTAACAATATTTTGTTGTGATTGTTTTGATATCACAGTGTGGTTCCATTTGTATATAATTTCACCATTTTCTACAAAAATGTTATCAACAAAATTTCCCCATGTTGTCCGTATAGCATCACGCTTAGGCTCGTTATTTGGACTACTAATTATAATAACAACATATTGCGCTTTTGATAAAGATTTGTCCCGAGTTTCCAAATCGTTATTGTTTGATGCTTTAGTTGCACATTCTATGTGTGTAAAATTTATTGTAAGGCAACATCCTAAATAAAAAAAGAACACGCTAACTAGAACCATAGTTCTATATCTCTGAAGAAAGGCTCTTAACATTATAAATCGTTCACATATTACTTATTAGGTTTAGTGAAACTTATTTAAATAAAATGACGAAAAAACATTTAATTTGCATTGCTTTATTTACTTACTCGCACAACGGACACCGAACGTGATGACAGATGACAGATGACAGGTGACGGTAGCTTGGAGATCTCCAAAATATTCCGTAGCACGCAAATATCTTTTTGGCATAGTTGTAATTTGATTTAAATACATATTATTAACTATTTAAAGTCCATATTCAACACTATCCTCTTAATTATTAGTTATAATACTATACTAATTAACACTTTATGGGATTGAAAACTCTTTCTAATTAAAAACAAGATGCACAGCCTAAGAAAATACGCCGAATTATACTGTACTATCTAGCTTATTTTTGTTTCCAAAATTTCATTCAATTAGTTTCAATTCTAATTTTCAAGTTATACAATACCAACCATAAATCAATGACCCAAAGAGTATACAACTCGCCATAAATTAAAAACAGCTGTAACTCTCAAGTTGACATTAAAATTTTCGCATTCCTCCGCTTCCCCACTTCCTCTTTGGGCTTTGCTTGTATTTTACATTTTATTTTCTGTCTCTTCCGTCCTCAGCGTAGAGCTCAGTCTGGCTCAGTCTCCAATATCGTTGAATGTGGGTTGGTCAGTTCGAAATCTGATTAAAAGTGTTGTTTTCCATTGTATCTTTTTATGTTTTGGTTAAATATCAAACGTCCAAGATCTGTACATTTCAGTGATATTTAAATTATTGCTTAGAGGTTAAATTGTTTCATAAAAGCAAATTTATTAGCTGTACTATTTATTATTTAAATGTCGGTACTTGTAACCTAACGCTCTTGTAAATAATTCAAGTTCTTACTTCTTAATGTTTTTATGGTTATCGGTGAATTACCAGTGACTCGCGCCATGCAAATTTTGCCCATTAAATTTTGAAGATCAGTCACTGAGTCCGTTGTGGATTATTAAAGTGGTGAGTATAATTTTTTTACCAACAATAACTAAAATAAACGATACAACTTTTGTGACATAAAAATCATGTCTTACAATTTTTATAGTAACCTTGTGGAAGGGAAGCTTTTTTTATTTTGGCATAAAGCCATTTGAATGGTTGGGATTTTAGGTTACACTTATATTTTATTACATATGTTTCCTAACAGTGTTTTATATTAAAAAAGACTTTAAATGATAAGAAGAATCTATATGTGTACTATAATTTGAATAAGCTATTTTTTTAAACATTTTTCCAATATAATGAATTTTATTTCAGATCTTAAAATGGAGTCATTAAAGAAAAAAGGAAAGCCCCCAAACCCAAGGGCCAAAGCTAATATATTCTCAGCATTAACCTTTGCGTAAGTTCTTGTTATATGTATTCCTTAAAATTCAATTAGTCTGCATTTGTCTCAAATCTTCAATATGCCTTTGTGCCTATAGATGTTTGGTACAGTATGTATTCTGCCATTTCATCTGAATTCCTTACCTTGTATATATTATTATTTTACTCATGTCTCTTCATAACACATATCAATCCAGTGTATAGAATTAATAGAAAATAAAATAATAAATGAATTTGATTTTAGATGGACATTACCCATTTTTTGGGGTGGCCTTAAAAAAGAAATGGAGGAACGAGACTTGTATGAGCCATTGGAAGAGCATGCATCAAGTAAGTATTTGAAAACATTACATTCTGCCATTGTATAGGTCAACATTTATCTTAAAATTTTAAAAATAATTGTAACATTTAATTTATATTTTTTGTTGCAAATATTTGTATAGCTATTCATATTGCATTTATATGTGAAAATGGAAACAATCATACTTCATAATATTTTAAATGCGGAATTTAGATGGATGGATGTTTGTTATTAATATCTTTGAATTATACATACAAAAAGTCTGAAAGCACATAAACTACTAAGTTCTTTTGTGTTAATTACGCGCGTACAAAGCTTACCTTAGATCCTAGGTCCACTAGGCGATAGTTTACTTTAGCGGCGCGAAACTAATTTATTATTGGGATTCGTGGAAGCGCCAGTGAATATCATGCATGCATTGCCTGATAGAAATAGTTGTTGTGCACCAGACACGCGAGTCTGGTTGTGCTAGTGCAAACGTGGCTTAAGTTCATTGAACTCCTATCAAAAGCTACACAACAGTTTTTAAAATTAACAAATAGATAAAATAATTTAACGACGTAAAGTTTAAAGACGCTTGTCAACTTTATCTGACTCCAAATATATTAATTTAATCAATGTTTTTTAAATAAGATTTTTTGGTTTAGCTTAGTTACTCATAAACGAGGTTTAGGGAAAGCGCCATGCCATCTGCGCTCGGCCACCTCAAGCCCGGTGAATCTGTAAATGCCTCATCAAGGCAAACAGTGGCCATTTAGTCACAAAAAAACAAAACAGTAATTAAAAAAATACGGTTTTATTGGAGGTACTGCTATATAATAAACAAGAATAAAAATTTAACGTCTCTTTATCTTTAAAGTCGGCCAGGAAATTTAGGGTACAAAACGAATTATCAAAATCGGTCCACTAGCGGCGGAGTTATGCCGTAACACACATAAAAAACATACAGACGAATTGAGTACCTCCTTCTTTTGGGAAGTCGGTCAAAAATATCGTAAGGGGTTGTATACGATGTGTTTACTCAGTGCGATAGCGACAAATCGGTAACATTATAGATTTTCCAATGTTCGCATTTGTTTAATGTGTGGTCATTATCGTTATATGAAAAGTTTAATTTCACAGCAATATTGCAATGTCTGAAGTTAAAGAATTTGAGACTCGACTGACAAGCGAAAAAAGTAAACAGGTTTCGCTTGTCCAATCCAATTGATGAATAAAATCACTCCGGCCTGATAAATACGATGTACTTTAAACGGAATTCAATTTATTCACGTAAAGGGCAGGTTATTAACATTGCGTTGACATATTCTGCCTATACATTTTGTCATCATTTTGTCTATCTATACTTCTATACTAATATTATAAAGAGGAAAGATTTGTATTTTTGTATGTTTTGAAATAACTCAATAACTATTAGTCCGATTTCAAAATTTTTTTTACCATTAAAAACCTACGGTAACATCAGTGGTTACTCAGGTAACATAGGGTACACTATTTTTTTTTATTTCACATGGACGAAGTCGCAAACAACAGCTAGTCGTTAGTATTTGCTCAACTCAAAGCATAACGATCCAAAAGACAACGTGTGTCTAACTAGTTGGTACAAGTTTCACTTTTCCTCACCGGGATTAGTTCTATTCGCATTTTCAATTTTTTAATCTCTGTTAGGTCCACTGGGTGACAAGTTTGCTCGGTTATGGGAGGAGGAGGTAGCGAGAGCCGGAGCCAAGCGCACGCCCAGTCTGCTTAGAGTCATATTAAAAGCATACGCAGCAAGATGTATGCTTTATGGATTCGTTCTATTGTTTATGGAATGTGGAATACGGTAAGTTTTAATTTTTTAATAAAATATCCTTTTAATTCCCAATATCCTTAAATATTAACATCGATGTTTAAATTGTGCTGTATTACATTATCCTTGGTCAAAATATTTTGTAACAAATGTATGCGATTTTAATAATGCTAGAACAAATGTTGGTGGTACAATAGATTTTCTATTTGATGCGCATATTAAACAAATTTAGAGAAAAACGATAACCGAATAATCTTATCTGTATATCTTATCGATATGTTATAAGAGGGGAACATTACAAGCAATCTATGCACATTAAATACTTGAAAGTCACGTTTTAAGGATGCGCTCAGATATCTAATTAAGATAAAAAATCAGTTTATGTTATCTACGTATCTATAAGAATATCAGTAACCAAATTGCAGTATTTTTGTAAATATGTCAATCCAAAAGAAATTGATTTTGTATACTTGAGTAATCGTAGTCTTCATCTCTTTTGATAGTATTTACTTGCACATAGTATCTTTATCTTTGAATATTGCTTGTTAACTTACTTCGTCTATTCTTTTTAATCCAAAAATGGCTGAATATTTGTTCTAGCTATAATAATGATAAAGTATTTATAAAACACGCAGATAAATAGAAAGATGATTATTTTCATTAACAGGCAAATAAAGGTTAATTATTAAAATTGATATTTAAAAATCAACCTAGTTTTTAAACATGTAAAAACAATATTTCAAGAAGTTTGTTAATAACTTGTTGTCAATTGTTATAAGGCGGTATATCTTTTTTTTCTTCTCATTAAAGATTGTATCGGTACATCTCAAATTAATCGCCCGAATGCGTCACAAGTTTTTAATGCACCCTTTTGTTGACTTGAACGACCTTTTATTTAGATAAAGGCGAAAATTTAATAATATACGTATTACTTTAATATGAGACATTGAATAATTAATAATGTGATTTGTTTTGTTATTCTTGAGTATAACGATCGTTATAATATACGTTAATTTGAACGCAAAAACGAAAATCTGCCAGATCATGCCACGAAGCGACTTGCACAAAATAAAAACAATTCAGAGAGATGGTCACAGTGTATGCTAAATCCGAAATTTTTTGTTGCCTGTATCTTCGATTCCAGGGGTAGTTATTTTAAGTGCTATATTCCTAGATATAGCATCAATAGTGAAACAGGAAAAAAGATTATGGTGTGAATTGTTATGTGAATGATTCAATGCAATCAGTGCAATCCTAGTGCGTGCAGATTCAATAGGTACAAAGTACGATGTGCCATTGTTTGTTCTTGCTATGTCATGGTAAATAGAAAACGATTTCTGTCAAATCACTTAATACCTCAACTCAAACAGTTTATTTGTCACAGTATTTCGATTTAAAGTGTCTTACACTTCATAGTTGGACTATGGAAATAAAACCACATTACTGTTTGTACAAAATATTTAGTGATGTCATTGATTTACAGATTTCCCTAGGTCCGCGGTTTACATATTTTAGTTTATTTATTCAATAATTGTTATACATGATTTATAAATAATGTTACGTACATTGTTACGCATTATTTACATTCCACTTGCCCAATGAGTCTCCGGTCACCGGATGAATGCACTAAGTCGATGTTTTTATCATGTTTTGTTTAAAGTTATTCGGTAATTATATGGTAATAGGGTTTTTGACCACAAACATTTCACAAGATCTACACAACATTGTCAGGGTTTATAGATAATTTATTTTACGTCAAGAAGTATTTATTTTAGAATATAACTTCAAAGTTTTTGTTAAAATATCATGCAAGCATGAATTCATTAAGACATTTTTATTTAATTTATTATGTACTTTTCATTAGCCTTAGAAAGTTTTACCAAAATTTCCTTATAATCGCGCCATCACAGGGAAAGTCAGTTTGTAAATTTCCATTTAAATTATAGATTTTTCTGTGACCGATGCAAACGTACTCAGAGTTCGTCATATCAGAAATTCCTGGCAACATATTGATGTTAATTGTCAACGTCATTGAGCGTCATCACCGTAACATTGTATGGAGCTATTTTTACCCTATTCCGCCATAAATGTGTCAATTTCTTACTGTTTAGAATATTGCGCGAATTGTTTTACCGTTTCAGATGTTAATTTTTTTCAAGAACAAATACAGTAGCCGAAATAATTTCAATATAACTATTTTTTGCAGTTTTTATCCACTTACATGTATTTAATTTATAAATAGAACATTAAAGGCCTTTCCTACCAAATTGTAAATGGTCTGATAACAATCCAACGTGTAAACTGTGATGGAAATACCGGATTTTGTTCCCTTATCTGACAGTGACGTCATTTTTAAGCTATCTAATCCTCAATCAGCAAGTACCACACAGGACCTAAAACAATATTTAAATTATGTTTTTTTTTTAATCTAAATTAGGCAAAGGGGGATTTTTGTCTTGGGAAAGACATGCCAATCCCATAGTGCTGCTAGTAGATCCTAAGAAACGAGCTGGCATAATCGTACAGCCGCTAAATTGTATTTAGATTACTCTATTACAGTTATAATGTTGAGTAAATATAAATTTTGTATCGTTTAAGGAAATTACCATACGACACATGTTTACTATTACGGTCTAATTCTATTTCCTAGAATTTAATTGGGTACGTTGCGAAATCATTCCACGTAAAACAATTTACTGCGTTAATAGTATTAAAATTTGCTTTCGTAAATTATTTTTAAAAATACAACTTTTCTTTAACAATAATTTTAGAACGACATTTTTATCGTCACAACCTTAAATCCATTTGTTGCATCAACAACTTAGCTACTGAAATTCACTTTTATTTGAAGAATTTCACTCTTCACTTAAAACTTTCAGTTAGAACTGTGGATGTGTAATGGGTGTCAGGCTTACCCCCATCAATATAACTCTTCCACATTCAGGTTATTAAAGTGTGATACTAATGTATGGACGCATGTAAATTATTATAATAGAGATATGCAACATATGGCATTTAAACATGCGTAATATGTTGTAATATTTGCACCACATTTGTCATAATGTAGCATTATTGTGGTTTCAGTATAACGTAAGCTTTTGCGGATATATTGCAATTTAGTACGTAACTAAGCCGCATAAGGAGTTAAAAATCTTAACCCTAAATTACAACGGCTTGTTTTATTTTCCTAACCAAATTTACCGAACCAAGTAAAAAGTTTTTTTTTACTGTTTCCTAACCGTCAAAGAGAAATGTTTCTTTCCGCTATTGTAACCGGTCAAGTTTTAGTGCTAGGGTGGGTACACTTTGCTAGTTTCATGCCATCAATCCCATGTTAAAACGATCCTGTCGATTTTAAGACTAAATAGCTAGCGCAATTTAATATCAATCTAATTGACATTTACGTTTAGTCGCGGTTTTTATGTTTTAAACCCCGCAATTCGTCTTGCTAAATCTACATTTTTCTTCATACCATAAGGTGACAAACAACCAAAGTTGTCCTCCGGCACGCAAAACTGCTAGTGTCGGCTACCAAGCCGCTGATACTATACGTTTGAAACCACACGGCCATTTTCACTCCGGCGGATACCACATAGCCACTATTTGGAATTTAAAGGAAACATATAAATTTAATTAATAATAATAGTAGAGTTCCCGGATAATTAAATAGTATACTCACCCTACCGGTTACGAAAGCGGAAAAAAATAGTCTTTACCTAACTTGTTACGTAAATTTGATATTTGATGAAAGCTAATACCTAGTTTTGTGGTATTTCATGTTAAGGTAACAATGTGAATAATTGGTTTAGTAAACTGAGCTCTAGGAACTTAAGTGACTTTAGAAATAACTATATTACTATTAGCATAAGATTAAAAACTTAATGGTAAACGTATTAAGGTTAGCGTAACGAGATTATTTTAATTCTTCTTGAAAGCGGAGAATATTTTTATAAGTATAAAATGAACTTACAGATAGATGTTACTTTTGGTCTGACCGAATTATTTAGATATGAATTTAGCAATCGGACTTTTTATTGCTTTATTGAATGTCTAGGTTATTAACATATTATCACTGCGAACTGTAAACTTTGATAGTTGTCTTGCAACAAAACATTTATAACGTATAAATCTCTGAAGGTCTTACCACTCACTATCTCCACATATCTTTTGAACCTCATATGAATTAGCCAAGGAAGCTCTGAGGGCGGCTTTAAGGGTCATGTATTTATTCCATCTTAAATAACTTGAAGGAGTATTACAACATAAATACATAAATTTAAGTTCTCATTGTATTTAAGTACCACAGATAAATGTTTGAAAATCACATTCTTGTTGACATTCTAGGACTTTAATGCTTCAGTAAGAAGATAAGTGCAAGTTAAGTATCGTATGTTGCCACATGAATGTCTACATTGTTTTAAAAAAATGTTTTAAAAGCCTGTGCTTGCTTTAGGGTACTTTTGGTTCCGTTCGCACGAAAGGTAAATTGATGTAATCTTATTTAAAACTATTAAGTAAATTATTTAAAACTAATAAAAAATTATGAATACATAATAATAATTTTAATCACAGAAGATAAAGAAACAAGTTCACAACCCGTTGAGAATACAACTTACTGCCCATCTACAATAATTAAGTAGACTTTAATGATTTTTAAGAGAAATTTATGAAATCATAAAGCCGAAGGCTAGAAATCATTTAGATCTGTATCTAAGAATATTACATTGAAATAAATTACAATTATTTATATGTAGCTATGGAAAAAATAAAATTATAACCAACACTAATGCTAGTTTTTATAACTGACCAGGGTTTATCTTATAAGTGGAGTATGATTAATCCTATATTTTACTTAAAGAAACTTGTATGAAAACAATCCGTATTTGTAATACAGCACAATAACATCCTTTTCCTTGTCTCCTGTTAACCCTATCCTACTCCTCTCCAAGGATACAACAGCCGCGTATGTTGGGCTCTTTCGTGGCCTACTTCGGTCAGATCGAGCGCCGACTCATGCGCAGGCGAGTCATGATTCTGCGCGACCAAACGCACATGGCTCGACAACGATTTGACAACGGAACTGATAAGAAGTGAGCTACTATCTACTGTAATTACAAGTAGCTTTCGTATGACGTCATCGATGTGTAAGATATCGTTGGATTAATTTGAAGAATTTTGGCGGAAGCCACGGTTAATTATCTGGTTTGGTTTTAACGATGACGTCATTCAATGTACTAACGTGAGTTAATTTTTGTCAACAACGCTGTTTACGATGTGGTTATTTAACAACGTGGTTGAGTAAAAATATGTACACTTAACTTAGATGAGATATTATATAATGTGTAATATATTGTTTATTAATTGTTACTTTATGAAGTAGACTGTTTAAATAAATTGTATCAATTGGGCTAAGTTTCAGTAACTTACTGCTTCACTGTCGTCTAAAAATATCTATCGATACTTCAGTGACTAAATGTCGACCTGATTAAAAACATTAGGCTCAATCTTGCTAAAGAAGTATGCAATGGCAACTACTGTTGGCATTTAATTGTGTAGATTTAGGGTTGTCAACAAAGTGGTTTTTTTACTTAACAAGTGACATAATTTTTGTATCAAGGTTTTATGTTTACTTTTCGTGCAATTGTTAACCGCTTACTGGTTAGTAAGTAAACAACTGACTTGAGATATCCAGAGCATACCAATAAATAGCCGTAAGTTATTCAAGATCTATACTTAATTGTTCCGAAAGCTTAAAATGATATGCAGGATTGCAATCATGGTCTTCATATTCAAATTTAAGGGTTGACAGCCCTATTTTATTCGGAATGGTGCATGCGTTCATGATTGTTGATAAGTCGGTACAATTTACTTTGTTGAACGCAATGTTTGTGCGCCTACCAATTTATTTTACTCTGATAAAGTCCATGAACACATATTTTAACCTCATTTCAATGCAATGATCATTTAATTTTGTCTTTGAAAAACTTTATCTTAGTATTTATCGGTTTTTTTATTCTTTTTATTTTTTAACAGGATAGCTCAGCCAGTGTTTTTGGGCAAGCTGATAGATTTCTACGGCCGAGAACAAGCAGCGATAAAGCCAGTGGAAGCATACTTATACGCTGGGGCAGTCATACTGTGCTCGGCTCTCAACGTCTTCGTAGTGCATCCATACATGATGGCCATATTGCATATGGGTATGAAATTCAGGGTCGCTTGCTGTTCCCTCATATATAGAAAGGTCAGTATATGTTTTAATTTTAATAATTAATAGGTTGATAACCTTAGACTTGCTCCGTTTTAAATGATACAAGTTTTTTTAGTGCGTTTTAGGGTTATTATAATTGAAACTAAGTAATATTTCTTGTAGTTTTAAATTACGATACTTTTCTTTGACTTTTTGTATCGGACGTGCTTAATTCATTATTCATATGCAGGTAATATGAATCTTATCGCTTAATGAGATACTTGAAAATTTCTAAGAAACTGAAAGACGAGTACTTTATGTATTTCCTGTTTATCTTAAATAATGGATTACATCCTGAGTTGACTCTTTGTTTCATTGTTTGCTGTGATACCGGAATGACATGGACAAGTAGTGTTTTATATTTGAAACTCGTTCTGGATCTAGACATAAGATGTTAAATGGTTTATCTACATATGTAACCTGTTAGAATATTATTTGGTGTTTCGACGAGAACCCAATAATAAGATCTACAGTAAAAATAAGATGCAAATTATAATTACGTTTTGCAAAATGAAATCCAAGTTCACTATTCGCGCAATTTTTACTTCGCCAATTATTTGAAAATTGAAACATACATTTACATAGTCATGTTAATGTAAAATGATTTATAAACAAGACATACAGTTTGTTACTTGTTATATGAATTGAAACACCTTGTTATTAGTAATTGGCCAGTAACCTTCCGTAACTACGGTAAGAAAGAACCTAATTCGTGATGCGAAAAAAATCAGAAATAATTAGTTGGTAATATTTCTAGTTGAATTCTATAATATTGATTTGTGATCAAATGAGCTACTGTAGACCGTGTATATTTATTAATAACTACAGGATGTTTTATGTATGGTTAAAGTATGTTAAAATTATGACTCAAATCAGTCACTCAATGTAGAGGTTTTTTTTTTTCAATTTTATTGTGCTACTTTTATTTACATACAAAATCTTCATTATCTGGCTTATTTCGCACAGCATATAGCTTAGCGGGCAGCCGTAGGATCATAGGATTAACTGTACTTACTAATTATGTATCACCTAAGCAACAGCCGGCTGCTGTTATGCACAAATCTTACATTCTGTACGCCAAGGTTAACGATTTCAAACGACCTTCGTTACATAATTTACATTTTCTTATTGTCCGTCTTCACTTTTATTTAATGTTGAAATAAATAAATCATTGCGTAATCTTGTGCAATTCTTTAAATGCAAATATATTAGATTGTTAAATCGGTAATTCAGGCTATCTGCTGTAATTCTCAGCATTCGGTATTCTACTTTTTCGATGCGATTATTTATTGTCCTTACTGCCTGTGACGTCAACAGTGCAATTATATTCATGTAATTCCCTTCTGTGTATTCATTACATAACCTTAATAAACGTTGCGTGATGCAGAGTTATAGAAAACAAACTTATATTAATGATTTATGTGCGTTCTTCTGCACAGCTCAGTAACAGACAAGCCATCTGTTTGTGTCTCAATCTATAGTAATATTATAAAGAGGAAAGATTTGGATTTTTGAATTTCAGTATGTATTGCAAAAACTCGAATACTACTGGGCCGAATTTAAAAATTCTTTGACCGGAAAGTTAATTTATCTGTTAGTAAAATGGGCTTTTTTTTTTAATTTCTTGTAGGCGAAGTCGCGAGCAACAGCTAGTTTTATATATAAATCTAGGAATTGTTATAGTTTAACTACATGAGTCATATATACAAATGTTCATTAAAAATATATATTTTCTACAAACTTGGTTGAAAGTAATCACTATGATTTTTGCGTACTTTCTGTAGTGTGGTTTTTGCTGTCCATCGTTTCAGTGAGAGGATTGCCAAGTATGAGTAAAAATGACATGTCAAGTTTTAAAGCTAATTGCGACAGTTAATATTATGATAATTAATGATATGATACAACATGAAGCAAATATTGTACAAAATTTTAGAATTTTTATTTGCATGAAAACTGCTCTCGTTTATTTTTATCTCTTACTTTTTACTAATATGTATTATAAATGTGAAAGTTTAGACGGATGGATGGATGTTTGTTGAAGTTTGTAATGTAAACATGCAAACAAAAATTTGGCATATATGTAGAGGATAGTCTGGAAGAATACATAGGCTACTCAGTTTTGTTTTCAATCCCGCGCGAACGGTGTCCCGGACGAAAGCTAATGATCAATAAAAAATTCCATTAATGTAATTTTGTCTTCCTAGTTCAGACATTTTCGATATTCTATTAAATGTTATTATTTACCAACGAATTAATATGTTTTAGTTCAAATTCGGTTATAAGTTTGTGGTTCTAAATCCTCGGTCTTTTGAGTATTTATTTTTGTCTGTTAAATCGATAACTGTTGGTTACCAGGTTTCAGTTTAGTGCGTTATCGAAAGACATTTCTATCATTTTTTAAGTTCGATAAAACAATACCAAATATACAGATATTGTGGCAACCCACGGTTATGCTTCTCAATGGAAGGATGAACCAATAAATATTATTTATTAAAAACTCTCTACGGAATATACTAATTTTGCCACAAAACCTTTACCATAGATAACTGGACCTAATAAGTGCCATGGATATTTTCATATCATATGTTATCTAGCATTTCAAGATATCTCTTTAATAAAATTATTAAGTATAAGTATTTGGATATCGCATGAATGTTTTTTTATAATAACTTCTATGAATTTTTGAAGTTGATTTTTAAAAGTTCACCTAGATACTTTATTATTACATCCTTATGATTTTAAGATGAAATTCTTTTAGTTTAATTAAGTAAATGCAAACACCAATTTATTATTGAATTTACGAATTTTTACACGAAAATTATATGACTTCCGATAACGTTAATGTATAACACGATATCGTTTCGAATATCGATCCGTGAATCTACTTTCATGACCTCATTTTATTATTCATGCATAAATTTCATTTAAATCCAACGCCTGAATTAAGTAAACAGAGATGCCTTAAATTCCACATATGGTTGCAATTACGTTATTTTATGTTTTTAGTTATTTTGGGAATAATTTATGATGAAATAAAATTACTTTGAATTTTAAGGTGATGCTACATAGGTCGACGTTGGATTAAAGCGAAATATAAATTAAAATAATGTAATATTTTTAGTTCCTTTAAATATTATTTGATAGATTTGTTTAGTAAATCTTTTTTTACAGTCCTTAAGGCTATCCAAAACAGCGTTAGGGGAGACGACGGTCGGTCAAGTGGTGAATTTGCTGTCGAACGATGTGAACAGATTCGATGTGGCTATCATATTCCTACATTACCTGTGGATTGGGCCCCTCGCCACCGTTATCATCGCGTACTTCATGTGGCTCGAGATAAGCTGGGCGGCTGTCGTCGGTGTTGGATTTATGCTCGCCTTCATACCTTTACAAGGTAAGTCATGAGAAACGTTAATTTTATATAAGGGACATGCTTGGAAGAAATTGCTCGATTTAGCCAAGGTCTATAAAGAGCTGTAAAAACTATTAAGATAGAGCAAACGAACTAAACACGCGAGTTGCAGAACAATCTTCTTGACACAATAACCCTGACGTAACATTATGTATGGTGTAAAAACAAGTATATAAGAGTATTGTAGCCTTTGAGGAAAATGATAGGGTCGTATTCATTTATTCATACGTATTGACTTTAATTGGCGTATATAGTTGTAGGATTTACTCTAATATTTTCAGTAAAGATAATTAAAAAAGAATTATCTGCGTAATTAAACATTGGTAAGTAAAGCAGGCCGTACGAATGTTAATCATATGAACATACTCTCATTATTCTCTTATGAAGTAATTAACTTTTTTATTTATTCAAGACTTAATGAAACGTGGTACCTAAGCGGCTGTCTTTGTCAAGTTCCCTTATTCCATTCACTATCGGTGCACAATTTTCACTAAATTATCTTAAAGTCGTATTTGTACGCCGTCGATTTTACCTTATTATTTTCTTAATGCAGCTTATAAAACTTAGATTAGATGTTATATTCAAATGTAGTCGTCATAAACTTGTTTTTTTACATTAGTTTAATTTTTACAACGAGTAACAAGTATCTAAGAATTATTGCTTTTAATGTTTGACAGTTGTCTTAAATTAAATATATTTAATATAAGTTTTGCATAGCTTTGATATAAATAACATAACTTTCAAATGCAAGGCTTTTGCTAAAACAACAAACCGGATTAGTAGCTAAAAGCAATGATTGCAAAATAAAATATTCGTTCTGCTATTAATTTCTGTTTATTATATTTTTTATCTTTTATATTTAATTTAAATGTGTATCCGACTGTCTCGAAATAAGGTTATGAGCTTAGAAATGATACCATTTAAGTCATGAACTCGACTTCTTGTTAACCTTATACTACACTTGGAAATAAAATTAAATACCCGTGTACCTTAGAAGCAAATGCACCTTATTTACTACGTAATAATGTAGATAATCGCTTGTTTACATTTCAAGATGTTTGCACATTTTTTTTTTCGCAAAGGACCCTTGTTGCACATCTGCCATTTCTATGTGGCCAGGTATAAAATTATTACATACGTTTTGTCCCAGATTGAAAAACATTCCTTGTTAATTTGTTTCTATGCATGCGTGCTATTGAAAATAAAATTTTCAAAGCATGTAAAAGTTCAGGTAGTTCATTGATTCCCTTTGAACATAAAGTAACGAAAGATTTACATATGACGTACTTCTATAGAATTCAAAACATACACTCTATTTTAATGAAATAATTCCCCAAGACTTTATTAAATCGTTTGCTGGATTTTGATGTGTTTATGTAAAAGACAAAACTTATAAGTTTTTTTTTAATTACTTTCGTTTTTTCAGCGTACTTTGGCAAACGGACATCTGAGTTGCGTTTGAAAACAGCTTTACGTACGGACGAACGTGTCCGTCTTATGAACGAGATACTGTCTGGTATACAAGTTATCAAGATGTACACGTGGGAAAAGCCTTTCGCAGACCTAGTCGCTAAGGCTAGAAAGTGAGTACAATATACCAAAGTGTACTTACAATGAGAGCAGTTTATTAACATATTTCCAAATCTTATATTCATGTTAAAAATATAATTGTATTTTATAGACAAAGTTTTAACGAAATTGTCACAAGGGGTGTTAGTAATAATCGCTTAGGGGTTGATACGTGAGTAATATTGCGTGTGTTTAATTATGTGAAAGTAGTGATAATGTTTTTGGGGTGTAATTATCGACATTTTATTGTATCCTAGACGGTTTTAGCAATTGATAATAAAAAAAATTAATGTAATTTGTAGGGTTTTCGAAGAATGATTTTAATGGTTTTATATGTTTTTTTTAGACAGGAAATCAAACAGATTCGAGCGACATCGTACATCCGAGGTGTGCTCACCTCATTTATAATGTTCATGACGCGGATCTGTCTGTTCATCTCCATACTGGCGTACGTCCTCGGACAGAACAATATTATCACAGCGAAGCAAGTGTTTGTGGTCACCAGCTTCTATAATATTCTACGGCAAACTATGACCGTGTTCTTCCCACAGGGTGAGTGTGAACAAAATCCCATTTTTTTATTTAATTCGTGTTAGGAAAGGCAACAAAATATTATTTTATTGTTGACTTTTATTTTTAAAAACGTGGCTCAATTATTTATAATTCTTATACTATCCTGCCAGTGTTTTTTTTTTGTCTTTTGTGCAATTATTATAAAAAAAACCTGAAGTTTTGTTTAGTCGATAAGCATCTTGGGCTTTTAGTCTGAGTATTTCGTTTCAAGGTCATGCTTTACGATCGAATTAGGTCAAAGACATTTCATGTTTATTCAAATGTGTTATTTTCCAACTAAATTAATGAAAAGTTAATGTTACCGAGCACTCGCTAAGGAAGTGGTTTTGTTAGTATTTACACAGCTGAGTGCAGATTTTACCATCTTGCGGATTGATTAATAGCCTAAATACTGGAAATAGATAAAAATAAATTTAAAACTAAATGTTTGTTGTTTACTTAGTTGACTCATGCCTGAAGTGATGAGTTAATATTTTTATTTACTTACAGTATCATTTATTAATTGTAAACAAATATACTTTTCTTAGAAACATGTTATAACATTAAAAATAATAACCATTAAGTTATTATTATTATGATATATATCTTTATTCACTTATTTTACATGATTTATATAAATATAAAAAAATAAATAAAAAAATAGAGCACCACCGGCTGCGGAATTCCATGACTCAAGCATCATTATTATTATTCAAGGTATTGCTCAAGTAGCTGAAGCTACGATATCAATAAAACGGCTACAAAACTTTATGCTATACGAGGACACGAGCAAGCCAGTGCCCGGCCTCTCCGAGATACAGACCGCCACCAAGAAGAAGGGCAAGGAAGAGAAAGAAGTAAGAGAGTCTGTCGCCTCAACCAAAGATGAACCTCTAGTCATTGAAGAGAAGGTCCAACCTGAAAAATTGGAGACAGAGCCTGAGAAGAAGAGGGACGAAGCCAGGGGTAATGGTAAGTGAAAGTCTCATTTAATATTACTTAACGTATTTCTATAGGAAATAATCATACTTATATTATACATACGAATGTTCGGATGGATGGATGAATGTTCCTTTATGACAGTGACGTAATTATTAAGATATCTGAGTCTCTGTTAGCCAATGGTGGGACAGGCCCTATGTTTTGTTTACTTCCTCACTGGCGAAGTCTTGGGCAAAACGTAGTGATTGATCAAATTCTAAATTCAAATTATAAAGTTAAATTAACTTTGTCTGTGATTGTTACTGGCCAGAAAATCTTGCACAAAAATGAAGGAAAAAATATTTTTTTTTTAATTTTCACTATTTGCCTTCGTTCCCCAGGTAATGCGACTCTGGCACCGTTAGAATCAGGTGAGGAAGATGACGAGGAGTTGGCGATGCGCGTGGAGGAGGACGCGCGCGGCGTGCGGCTGAAGCACGCCACCGCTAAGTGGATCGCCTCGCACGCAGAGAACACACTCACGGACATGTCGCTCACTATAAAGCCCGGCAAGTGAGTCCACTCAAACGTTGCTTAAAACAGTTGTTATGACATTGATTTGCGTTACTAACAAATTTTGACAGCCGTTTAATATTTGTACTATTGCATATAGATTTTTTTTCTGAAGTAACGTAAAATCTTTCGGATTTGAAGCATACCTAATCTTTGTATTACAAATAGTTTGAAACTGACGTTTACAAATTAAGTTGGCACGCTAGTAACAAGTGTACTCTACTACCGGACGAGCCAAATAAAGTCCCGGGTACTATAATCGATAGAACTATATACTACTACCTTTAGTCCACGACTCGGTCCGCGTGAATATAAAAAAAAAACTAAAGTAATTAGCCTATGTGTTCTTCCAGACTATCTTTTACATCCATGCTAAAATTCATCGACATCCGTTCAGCAGTTTAGGCTACAAAGTCTAACAAACATCCATACATCTAAACTTTCGCATTTATAATGATAATGAGATTAATACCATTACTCTGATAGTCGTTTCGTTGCATGGGCTAATAGCGAAGAGCTTCGACCAACATCTCAAGAAGTCCTCGCTATAAAGTTGGGTTAAGGGACAAGAACCTCCTCACTATGCGTGCGGTTTCTCTAACTGACGATTCAAAAGGCAGTTATTTCAAAAACCGCACGCATTGTGAGGAGGTTTCTGTCTCTGCCCTGACCACTGGTTGCTTGAGTCATCGGATTCCGTATCAGTTGGTGCTCTATTTTTTACATAATGTGTTTTATTTTATTTTGTATTCAAATCATGAAAAATAAGTATTAAGGGTATATGTGTAGTTTAATAAGATATCGCGTTGTCAGGCTGATAGCAGTGATAGGGCCGGTGGGCGCGGGCAAGTCGTCGCTGCTGCACGTGCTGCTGCGCGAGCTGCCGCTGCTGTCGGGCGAGCTGCACGTCGGCGGCACCGTCTCCTACGCCAGCCAGGAGCCGTGGCTCTTTGCTGGTTCGTACTCCTGCATTTACAGTCAGTTTAACCCTTAATGCATGATGATATATACATCAGCCTTCTCTTCCATACCCAATGGACTATTAAAAAACCGTTTTATTTATTTTTCCATTCATCTATGTTCAATTTACTACCCGTTTTAATTTAGAGTATTTAAAAATAAACAATCATGCATTTAAAGGTTAAATAGCTACCTAACTAAGAGTAACCTAACCTTAGTTACTGTATGTTATGTTTTTAGTTAGAATAGGTTGAAAATTTATTTTTGTAAGTAATCGTTAGGTTTCTACAGATGAAATATTTGAACAAAAAAAAACTTTTTCCTTGTAAAATATATAGGCATAAAAAATGTTTATGGTCGTAAGTCCTGTATATTTTTAGCCAAGTGTTTTTTTCCAATGAAAACCTATACAGCCTTACAAATAAACGCGGTATAAAGTTAAACTTAGGAATAAACTGAGTATAAGCAAAATTTGTACTAATATTTAGGTATTCTCAGTTTATTCCTAAGTTTAATTTTATACCGCGTTTATTTGTAAGTTTTACCATTATATTATAAGTTTACAACTTTTGTTTTATCTGTTTGTTTGTTAGGCAGCGTACGTCAGAACATCCTGTTCGGGCAGGCGATGGACCGGCCGCGCTACAACGCCGTGGTGCGGCGCTGCGCGCTCGACAGGGACTTCACGCTCTTCCCGCAGGGCGACAAGACCGTCGTGGGCGAGAGGGGCGTCAGTCTCAGCGGGGGTGAGTTTTCAACATTATTTTGTAAGAACAAAATATATGTTCCTAATAAGTCTTCTAGAAAGACGAAATTCCCGGGGCGAAGTCGCGGGCGCTCGTCTCCGTCCGAAAAGTAAAATAAAACAAAAGTAAATAGCTTATGTGTACTTCCAGACTATCCTCTACATTAACACAAAATTTTAT